TAGTGGAAGTCAACCCTCCATTGGACAGAAGAGGGCACGCGGGCAACGAGGTGCAGCGAAGAAGCTTGAGGGTCGGCACATCATAACGGAAGTGGAAGAAGATGGACGTCCTAGTGCCCCGGCCGAAGCCGCCAAAAACTATGTACGTCACAGCGGTTGGGTTGTGCGGGATAACGTGCCTGTCAGTACGGTGTACTGGCGAAGAACAAGGGCACACGGAGATCATGAGAGCTTTGTCCTAGATTCGGAGAAAGAGATGCTGTGGACCACAATGCTCGAGACATTCACCCTTCCTGCGGGTACAGAGGACAAAGTGAAAAGGTGGACTCTGAAGAAAATGGCAGAACAGTTTCAGAGCTTCAAGGGAGATCTGTACCAGAAGTATATCCTGAAGGGGCAGACACCGAACTTCCACACATTCCTAAAGTTAAGGGATCACTGGGACAAGTTCGTTGCATATAAGACAGGTGAACAAGGGCAAGTGATGATGGAAAGAAACAAAGAAAATGCCGCCAAGAAGAAGTACCATCACCACTTGGGGTCAGGAGGCTATAGCGTCGCGATGCCGAAGTGGGAGGAGATGGAGGCTAGCTTGCTTGAGAGGGGTATCGAACCGGCAACCGCTAATTGGCCGGAACGATCGAAGTTCTGGTACTATGCTCACGGTGGAACGCTCAACCCAGCTGATGGCTCACTGGTCTTCGCCGATCAGATACGAGAGGCTGCGCGACGACTAACAGATGCAGTGGAAGCCTCCTCTCAGGGCACATTCCGACCGGACAGAGATAGGGACGAGCTGACACTTGCCCTGCAGACTCCAGAGCATCCAGGACGAACACGAGGGAAAGGGGTGATTCCTTGGAAGATTGGTTTCAAGGAGGACATCCACATGTACAGGAGTCGGATGAGGAGCAAGAGAGATACCGAGACGAAGATTGCAGATCTAGAGTTCCGGGTATCGAGCTACGAGCTCGGCATGCAAGAGGAGGTGGCAAGGAAGGTTGATGAATGCATGGCCGCACATCGGTCCCATGATCCCCAGCCGACCATTCCTCCTGCAATGGTGAGCCCGTCAGGAAACCGTAGCAGCTGCGCCTCAACGGGGCAGGTAGGATCACAGAGCATGGACGCCATGCAAACCCAGGACGAATCGACCTGTCCCGTTGATGACATCACTCAGCGGACACCATGTGAGCTGCATATTCCTTTCAAGAACTTATCAATAAAGGTAAGCTCGTAGTTTATATATTTTAGATTTGGCCATTTCGCTAGTTGCTGCTTATATATGTTGATTACTAATAAATAATCTCTCACAACATGAAGGTAGCGTTGGGCATGGCCATCCCAACGGACCCTTCTGGTACTTAACACTGCAGGCCGATTCCAGCAAGATACTCGAAGGTCGAAGTTGAGTTGGTCGAAGGCGCGTATGAGGACCTCGAGCTGGATTACCCTGAAGGAGACGGTGAGACGCATCTACGAGACACAAGCCAAGCCATTATTCTATGGCGCAGGCGGTACATCATCTTCCCTGGGCGACAAGCGGCGTCTCGTGCACCATCTCCTCCGGCTCCGCCATCTCCTCCTCAGGATCCTGCACTGTCTCCTCCTCATGCTCCGCTAGCACCGTCTCCACCTCAGGCTCCAGCACCGACTCCTCCTCAGGCTCCTGCACCGACTCCTCCTCGGGCTCCTACACCTACTCCTCCGCAAGCTCCTCTTCCGGCACCTTCAAAGTCAAGGGCCCCCCCAGCTCCACCGCCTGCCCACACAAGGGCAACGAAGAAGGCGAAAGTTGATGCCGCCAAGAACAAGGACCCGGGGTACGATTGCACGCAAGAGGAGCTTGACGCTTACGTGGCATCAGAAGTCAAGAGACAATTCAAGCCTTGAAGTCCAGAAAAGAAGATTGCTATAGACCCGAGTGTCAGGAACTTCTTCAGGGGTATGTCTGCACCTGTCAAGGAGGCCATCAAGCTATCGGACTATGAGCGAACGCTGAAGAAAGCATCTTCTGCAAAGTCCAAACCAGTCCCTCAGCTTGGAGAGCAACCAAACCAGGAGATCGAGCCGTTGGTGAACGGTGAAGACATGACGATAGAAGAATTTATTACTGACACCGGTCTAACTACGGATCAATTGCTAGGAGTCGAACCAATAGAAAAGGCGGAAGTGAAATACATGTACGAACTCGGTAAACCGCTTGTCAAGCCCGAGCTGGTGCAGTCCCTACCCACACAAATGTACAAGTTCCATCAGCTATACATAGAGATGAGCACCACCGGTAGAGAGATGATTGGAGCGAGGATCAGGGACCCAGACTTCTTGCAAGGAGATGACATTCTCTGGATCAATTTCAAGGGAATCTACGAACTATACGAGCTGGACGCCCTCGACGTCTCTATTATGAGTTGCTGGATTTTGTAAATATATCGTTCAGTTAGATTTCTTAATTACTACGTCTCCTTTAATTAATTAGGTCCTTGTATATAAGTAGACTATATAAAATAAAATACTCCCTTTTATCGTTGTAGAATGGAGATTCAAAGGGCCCGACGGCGGAGGGTTTTTGATACTGGATTCATCGACCCTCGGAAAGTAAACGTCGCAATGCTCGACCAATATCCGCAAGCCACAGAGGACAATCTCGTCCATCTCCTTCAGGCGCAGCATTACAAGACGTTCATACTGTTGCCGTACAACACAGAGTTAGTTTAATTTTACTGTCTTCCTATACCAAATTTCATTCCCGTACGAACTTGCTAAGTGTTTCATATGTAATGCATCCCACGCACATTGCAGATTCCACTGGGTGCTTTTACTCTTCGACCTGTCGGCCTGCACCATCAACGTATATGACTCAATGGATAAAAAAGAGTCTACGTTTGACAAGGTTTTCGAACTTATAGACAGGTACTGTCATAAGTTCCTCTGTTAATTAAGAAATTCTTGTTATGTTAATTGCTACTACGAATCATATCTTTAAACTCCATGTAGGGCTTGGTATTGGTTCCGTCATTTGGTCCACGGCAACTGGAGAGAAAGACTTAGGCGGAAGTTCAAATTTCCTGTGAGTACACATGCTCTACATTTATATTTCTCCGATTCAAATTAATACATACAAGTGTATATTAATTAGATCTCACGCCGTTAATTTGTCATTTATTTGTAGTGCGCAAAGCAAAAGCAGGGAACTAACTTGTGCGGCTACTACGTGTACGAGTATTGCCACTGCCTTGCAGACCAAATCATCACCACAAGAGAGCTCGATGTACGTACAAATAAATTCAAATTTTCATTACGTAACGATTTCTTGTTTAATTACTAATCAATTTCATACAATGATATAGTTTATTCGCATGAGGGATAACCTGACCACACACAAGGAATTTATCGCGGCGGTTCAAGAACAACTCATGGGATTCATCAACGAAGAAATCCTTGATCCCAAGGGTGAATTCTACTACGACGGAAACACAATTCATAGATCCTTAGCTTCTGAGCTAGCGACTACTACTACGTCGAAATCGTAGCTAGCTAGGACATATAATGGATTGTAATTAATATATGACTACATATGTTTCTATATGCATGTGTACACATTTTCTATAATGTAAATATATTTTGGTCATATATATATATATATATATATATATATATATATATATGCATTTGCATAACATATATATGTATAAATACATATATATTATGCATGTACATATGTACTGAAACATATATACATATAATATAATATATATATATATATATATATGCATATATTATATATGCATATATATGTATTGAAACATATATATGCATGGTTTATATATATATATATATATATATATATATATATATATATATATATATATATAAACCATGCAGCAACAGGGCCATGCAAAAAAAAAAAAGGTCAGCTCGATCTTTAGTCCCGGTTGGTAACGGCTCAGCCGGCCACGTGGCTAAGCCATCTTAAGTCCCGGTTATTTCACCCGGGACTAAAGATAGCGATCTTTAGTCCCGAATTGGTAGTCCTGGTTTGAAAACTGGGACTAAAGGGGGGTTACAAACCGAGACTACAAAGGGTTTCTCCACCAGTGGATACACGGTTTGAAACTATATAGACATTCAAAATTTGGTGTCACGTGGATTTTCTTTAATAAATATGTTGCTCATATTATATTTCCTTTTAAGTAAATATAGGTATTTAGAAAAATATGTTCGTGCGTTGTAACATAGTCTAGCTTACATAAGAACTAAGGCTCTGTTTAGTTCTCAAACAAAAACTTTTCACCATGTCACTTCCAATATTTGGACACGTGCCTAGAGTATTAAATAGAAAAAAAAACTAATTACACATATTACGTGTAAATTGTGAGATGAATCTTTTAAGCCTAATTGCTTCATGATTTGACAATGTGATGTTACAGTAAACAATTGCTAATGACGGATTAATCCGGCTTAATAAAAGTCTCGCAGTTTATAGGCGGAATATGTAATTTGTTTTGCTATTAGTCCACGTTTAATGCTTCAAATGTGTGTTCGTATATCCGATGTGACACGCTAAAACTTTTCGTCTTGCGAACTAAACAGAGCCTAACATAAGTTCCAAATAAATCCCAACCCCCGCCCAAACACAAGGAAGGTGTCTATCTTAATCCCACGACAACATCTATCTGACGACAGAGATCCACGAGACAAACCCATTGGACAGTCAAGACAACCAAGAAGACCGCACACAGTGCCTTGGTGGGAAACTCCTTCCTTCCTTTGTTTTCGAGTCATTTCTTGGTCCCCCGTCGTCCTCTGTGTGTTCTCTGCTTTTTCTTTTTCACTTCAAACTGCTACTGTAGTACAATATTAATGACCATGTGTTATCTCTACTAGTACTTAAAAAATTTGCAGTGGTGATGGTGAAGCCAACATAAACAAGCGACCTATTAACCATGGGGTCAGGAAATCGGACGCTCCTCCGGATCCCATCGCAATCCGCACTTGGCGAGAAAAAACCGTCGCTCCCAAATCCCCCATCGTTGCGCCCCCTCCTCTCTACAACCAACCTCGCCCTGCCCCCCATCGCCGCGCCCCCTCCTCTCTGCAACCAACCTCGCCCTGCCCCCCATCGCCGCGCCCCATCACTAGCGCTGCAGACGCCTCACTCCCTCCCTCCTCGACCATCGCCGGATCGCGGCAGCCGGCCCCCGACGACGCTCTCGCTCCATCCTCCCCAATCCCGGCGGCTCCTCGGCGGGTTCGTCACCACGGTGACTGAGCCCCCGCCTCGCCCTTGCGTTCTGTCCGTCATGACTCCTCGCCCCCACGCCGCTAGCCAGGTAAGCATCATTCATTTTTCTCATGGAAGTGTGTTTTTGTTTCCATTTCTTCTACCGTACGCATAGAATTGCATGCAAAACACTGCTGCTGAATCTCCTCTCTCTTGAGACAGTGTTATCTTTAAATCAATGCAAGTATGTACTGTGTTCTCAACAAGAATTGAAAACCCATAGATGGATTTAGTTGGGCATGATGTGTCCATTAACGTAAGCGATCACCCACATAACCCCCACAAATAATAGCTTCAGAACAAGTGCAATGTTACATCTGAAGAAATAACATATCAATCCTGGGCTGGGCATATATTCCATATGGACAATATGATCGAATTTGTGAAGCATCAGACATGCAGAATTAATTATTTTCCCCCTTATTTTCTTGGTTTTGCTGCAATTTTAAGTAAGCATTCTTGATATGATCCCATGGCGTGTAATAGCAATTCTAAACTTATGATACATACCTACATCCTCAAGAAAATGTTTTTCTACCATCAGGATAAATAGGTCATGGTCATGTTGACCTGATCTTTTAGATATTACTCCAACTCATAACATTAGAAAAGCATCATCAATTAATAATTCTCGATTGTAATTTTATCTCAAACAGTCTCAATCAAAAAATTTCAGTTCATCAGTTTGTCAAAAAAGTCTCACTTGATGGATCGGTTTTAGCATTAATATTGAAGCAAATAAGTGCATAGGAATTTCAGTTCATCAGTTTGTCAAAAATTGTGGCTAGATGGATCGGTTTTAGCATTAATATTGAAGCAAATAAGTGCATAGGTGAATTAGATTTTTTTTTCACTCTATAAGGATACTTTGTGCCACTTGCTTTTGTTGTCAGGTCATCCAAGAACTCGGCAAGAGTAACTTGGTAGGGAACTTGTCTAAGCAACCAATGGTCAATTTTCTCATGAAGCGGTCTTTTTTTTTCAGAATCATTCCTGTGCGACCGGAGACCCTGACATTACCTCTCGCTACCAGCACCGCTGTCTTCTCCCTTTGTCGAGATATCCATTTTCTCTGTCTTGTCCTCCGTTGAATGTCTCCCTGCCGATTCTGTGGGATTGGGTGATTTGGTGTGGAGCTAATCATTCGGTTGATGGTCTAATCGTGCAAAGGGACAAACTATAGTCTAAAGTCAGACATGCCAGAAAACTATAAATATCGATTTGTTCTTTTCTTATGTGTTTGTTTTTAGGCTACAATGGAAGTATTGACTGCCATATACTCGTGAATTAATCTATATGAATTGTTTATGTTGGCCATATGCCAATATACTTGCAGAGTACTAGCTAGGTGTGGGCTTGGCAAAATACCTAGCTGCAACTTTTTCTTGGTCAACAAATGCATTTCTGATTTTTTTTCCAGTTTATAATTTGTTCCAGACATAAAAGTAAATTGTGCTCTCATTTATTGCTTTCAAAACAGAAATGCATTGTGCCGAAAGTTGTGGCTGGGAAAAATGGCTACTGGCTATTCAGCATCCTTACGCTCATGCAACTTATCTTTTTTCAGATCAGTGCAGTACTTTGAACTGATCAATACAATATCCTTATTTGTAAGCATGTTTTTTCAGATCAGTGCAGTATTTTCATATTAGTATATTACGAAAATATAATTCCTTTAATTGAGTCAGATAGTCTAGTGACCTAGAAATTTATATTCAAATGCAATTTTCCCCATCTAATTATCCTTTGAGTGAGTGATCATGTGATTGCTTCAACAATCAAGAGCATCTTGATTGGTGAACAATGACAGGTAATAACACATGTTTTAATGTTTTGTTGTAAAAGATCATTTCAAAATTCATGGTTTAGAAAAATAAATTACAAATTCGAATCCTGCTGACAACTGTTATTTGATTTTGTACAGTACGCCAGAAGAAACATGTGTGGTACCACGTGATTGTCACATACATAACTCTTTATGTAATTTTTTTCGTGAACCTTAATAGCATCCACAATCACCATCTACGAGACCAACTGCGTCTCCTATGAGAGAGAGCCCGAGAAGGTACAACACGTCCTACAGTGTTAGTGCCATCTTCCCACATGGAATGTGGTATGTGTGCGTCTCAGGTCTCCAACGGTCTACTAGAGTGGCCAGAAGGGACTTGTCTGCATCCCACAGCTTTATTGGGTCGGTGTCGTTTGCGGCCACCTCGACTAGCCTAGACAATGGTAGGAGGCCTGCCTCATGCAACCTGCAGAATGTAAGGTCGACACATTAATAATGACTATTAAAGTAGAGTTAGCCGTTCGTAAAAAATAATAGAAAATGGCATACCACGGAACTTGTCGACACGCAACAGTTGTCGCGGAGGACGTGACGGAAGGTGCTGAGTTGTACACCCTAGAGTAGGGATGGCAATGGGGACCCGATCCCCGATCCCCCGCGGGGAAAGCATCTATTAGGGCCTAGAGTGCTTTTCAATGCTATGGTTATTAGGTCAATACGTGCATTAAAGAAACAACAAACTTTCATATCACAAGCTATAAAGATTACAACAACATAGTTCAGAATATTAGGATGCAATACTAAAATTGCTCATAGTACAATACCTTCTAATTGAAGGTTATGAAATTACAAGCAATGACGATTACAGTAGTTGTAGGATACTATACACAATACAATACCGGACTAGTTCATGGTTCACTAACAATACTACACCATCGCATCACCAGCTGCACAGGGACGCCTAGGACGTGCTCACCTGGTTATTCCTTCCTCCTGTGGTTGACTTCCATCCGTTGTCGTTCCAGATGGACCAACATCAGCGCCGCTAGGACCTAGCGTATCCTTTGGTCATTTCTAGTAAGTCATAGACTCCTATCTCCTGTTTCGGACATATACATGTTATTTCTGATGCATCTTGTCTTACGCCTGCCTTTTTAAACCCTTAACTAAGTTGGATCTTGAATGCAAATAACCTGGGGACTTAGAGTTGTGTAAGATCCTAAGATCCCGAACCCATATATCTCTTCACTTTATGTATGAAAGATTGTTTCTTTCCAGAAATAATGTGACACGTAGACATCGGGAAGTATACCACAATCACCGGCTGTAGCAAGTACATGAGAGCAAGGCAGGTGCCAAAGCTTAGGCTTCGTACAGTTGCAACTACATCTGCCATCCTACTTTAGGACACATTTCTGCACAGCTTGCCTATGGTAGATACCACGCCTGCTCCTATCAACACAAATTACTTCATATTGACAAATCTATGCCCTTTTGCCCTTAACTATTTTATCTACCATGTCCTTAGTAACTACTGTCCCATAAGATATATTGTTGTGTACCATTGAGGTATCAATTTTCTTGTATAGGTCCTTGAGGTAGGCCTGTGTGCCATGAAGGATAAATTCAATAATACCAACCAATGGCATTCCTCGCACTCCTCGCATTACCCAGTTGTAAACCTCAGCCAGATTAGTTGTCATTATGTCATATCGAGAACCATCGATGTTGTACAAGAGGACCCACTACTCCTTTGGCTCATTCTCAATTCAATGCGAGAAATTCCAAATCGATGATGCCGACCTCCGTCTCATACTAGGTGAATTGTCATGCAGTGGACCTAGAGCTACTGGAGGCTTGTCACCTTCAACCAGTGGCCAGCGAGATTGCTCGTCCATTTGCTTGGTTTTCAAATCATCCGACCTTTTCCACAACTCGTTGAATTTCTAAAGTTGATTTTGTGCACAAAGCCTCTTAAAATGATTCATCAGGTGCTTGTTCTTGAATTGCCTGTAGAAATTAGTACACATGTGACACATGCACCATCTACTCTGAACATCAGGCCACCTAGCTGGAAGTCCCTTCTTATCCCAATCATTTTGCAAGTAGTCAATTACCGGTAGTATGCTTGTATGACGATCATGTATAATGCAAACATCAGGCCTCTTATGCATGACTTTGGTGCACACTTTCTTGATAAACCAGTACTAGCTTTCAATGTTCTCACTCTCAACAAATGCAAAAGTCATAAGTAAAACTTGATTGTTTCCAAAAGCTCCAATTGCTGTCAATATCTGACCCCTATATATACTGGTAAAAAATGTACCATCGATGCACAATATAGAACATCAATCCACAAAATACGTTCATGCAAGCACTCAATGCGAAAAAAGCTCTGTGCAGCATTCTCTTGTTAGGCTCATCAGATGATGGGAATGTATGAATGTCAAAGTAAGTATTACTATCTTCTTAGAATTGCTGGCTAACTGGCGAAGCAAATTATCATAAGATGCTTCAAAGATGCCATACATCATCTCGATAATCTTTCGTTTCTCCGTCCATGCTTTGGCATAGCTTATGATGCATATGAATTTGTCTTCATTGTGGCTAATAATTAATCTTGGTTCAAACCCAATGTTGCGGACAATGCTGCTATACATCTTAGTTGCAATAAAAGCTGAAGTGATGTTGCGGTGGTACTTCTCCACCCCTTGTAAGTGGCATTTATGCTCGGTCATAGTGCTTACTTTTCAATAGTCATTCCATTTACCCTTATATGCATGAACATGCCACTAACACTCTTCATTCACACACCTTGCTTTGTACACAGATTTGGTTGACTTGGCCACCCTAAACTCTCTCTACAATGAGACTGCACAATGCTTCACCGCCTCCTTTAGATCCTCCGAATGAGCATACCTAGCACCCTAAATTACCTTGTTCTCCTTTTATTCTCAAGTTACATGATGCCCCTCAGAGATAACAAGGCCTAAAAAGTCCTCATTTGTCCAATCAGCAGGCATTACATCATCTTCCTCGTCAGATGATGCATCACCCTTCACTTGCTCGAGTTCATTTGCTTGATCAAGTTATCTCGTTTTATGTTTTCTTTGTTTTACCATGGGCATATTTTAATGCCCATGTTACTACCATACATATCTCATGCTATCAGCACAGATTCTACCTTCTTGATGAGAGAACAGATGTGAAGGGAACATGACACGTGAGACTTAGCTTCATCAACAACAACAGCTACTGCAGTTGCCCTTTGTCCCTATCAATGGCGATCCTGACTCAGTTCGATCGTGTTGTTTTTCTCTTCATCCCGTCACTCCAGTCACCCTTTATCCCGAGGTCGACTGATTGGGAGCGATTGGATCGATCAGCTTTCCATCAACATGCCATATCTTGACTGCAATTCATAGGCACAACTGGGGGCGACGTGCAACCAAACCATATGAAGGTGTTGGGCACCACCCAAATATAAATTCCTTGTATGGATAGTGATCCAAGATTGGGTTTGGATGACTTGCAGACCGTATTGAATTGAAGAGGATGACCAAACCAACAAGTATGCCCTTGTGATTCACCTATCTGCAAAATGCAGGCTCACCGCCAAACAGTTTGCAGCAATGTAACCATGGACCAACCTTGACCTTCATATGCATGACTCATGCAATGTATGGGAACACTGGGAAAACATATGGGAAAACAAAGAAACCCCTGAAGATGTTGATCATCATAGTCAATTGGGAGACGTGGTGCTAGCGCAACGCAAGAATCTTCTGACAAACCACAATAACCCCAACCACCATAGTAGAAACACTAGCTTAGGTGAAAGTAGGAGCAGCCAACACAAAGAGGGATGCCATATATTCTTTCTCTTGCGGGAGTGCTATTCTTTTCCCATATATTAATAGAGAAGCAGCAATACAAAGGCCTAAATAAATCTTTAGGCCTTTGTATTGCTCTTCTCTATTAATATACAAGTGCAAAGCTTTAAAACTTAATAGATGCATATGGGCCAACTTCTTATAGGGATGAGATTGCCCTTCCTAAAAGATGTTTAGGACATTAAGTAACTTTTAATCATGACATTTCATACTCTTTAAAATGTGTGTATTTTTAGGGACATTTAACTCCATGCCACTTTTAAGATGTGGCAACTAATTATTTGCCACTCGCTGTCTATGACATGTAGGCCCTCATGTGGCTATGACATGTGGGTCCAGTAGCAAATAATTTAGCACCACTCGTAGGAGTGACAAATAGTTAATTATTCTGTATTTTTAACTTGGGGGATGATACATGCACATCCCTTAAAAAAAAGAATAACAACATGACAACAAGTATCATGCCAAGAGAGCTATACTATAGACACGACCTTCATCCTCATTCACCAAGTTTTCATGTTTTTATAGTAAAACTAATTCAAATTGGTCTAGCTCAACACTAGACTGCAGGCATGACTATATTTGAACTGTTTTCCTTAAGTAGAGGTTGCACACTTATCCATAGACCGCTCAACAATATCAGTAAGGGAATCGAACCCATATGTTCCATGAACCTCATGAATGGTAAGTCAAGGTAATCAGCATGGGTACAATGACAAAGGCTTTTACATTACATGCCATTCCCAGCTAGCTCACTAGAGGATATTGGTTGGTTCCACCGTGATCGTAAGCACTCCAAGCATATAAAATATTAGTGATACATCATTGGTGTCATACTATAGTCGGCTTAACTATATGCCTGCAACTAAAAATTATGATGTGATTCCCTAGTTGATACAAAGGCATACTATAGAATATATCGATGCAAATGTGTTATGATAAACTCAATACAAATGCAAGGATGGCCATCAACGTGCTCTAGTGAGCGACAAACACAAGCAGACTAATGGGAATTCAGCTTCCAAAAAACTAGAACTCGAGAGACGCTCCACTGCACTAGAGAAATCAGCCATAGTTTCACCTGAAAATCCAAAATGCTGCACTATTACAGGCTCGAACACTGCTCTTGTCATTGAAGCCATTATGTTTGGACTAGGCAACATTCCATCCGTGGCAAGGAAAGCATCATAGACCATCGTCTTGTTGATTCGAAATGAACCCTCATCTTCAATGATCGAATCTAATTCCTTGTCCAAAGGTGCATAGATAGGTATGTGGAATGTGTCAAACTTTTCTTTGCTTATCATACCCTATAAATAAGTTAAAGTATTCTCAGCAAACCTGGAAAGAAACCTTGATTCCAATAATTAATTCATGAAGTTCCTTTTTACAATAGAATGCCATGAGCTAAACTTAAAGATAGAAATTGTGATATTGCACGAATATTAACCATTTTTTTCGTGTATAGAACTTGGATAGGATCCATGGCAAAAAAATTTGCCAGTTTAATTTTCTGTCCCAAAACATTCAAACTTTTAACCGTCGGATCGCATCGAGATTCGTGTGGTGAAGGGAAAAGAATCTTGCAAGTTTGCAGGGGGCGTCAAACTCCAGACCTCGTATGTAGATGCTTAATGTGGTAGCCAACCAGCCATGCACTTGTTTGCTCCAGTTACATACGGTATATACATAAGTTACATTGTAATTATAGTGTAGTTACAATATAATATTAAACACCAATTACACTCTAGTGATATACGAAAGTTTTTCATAAAAAAACATTAACTTACTCTCGATGCCATGTCGTTCAAGGCTATGGCTAGCAGCTTCCATACTTGAGTTGACTTGGACGCATGGTTGCTTGAGCATCTGCCAACCAATGAGAAAATCAGCTGACCTCCAAGAACTAGTTCTTGAGCCCTCAAGGACAAGAACAGCGTGAAATCCTTTCTGAACTGTCGAGCATAAGCATTGGCAACAATTTCACGGTTCAATAGCCTCAATTTATCGTCACTATCGTACATTGGGATTTTACTCTTCACAAGCTCTTCAGGTGCCTGCTTGTAAAAAGGCACAAGTGGTGAATATTGACCAATTATTCCATGGCAACATATATAGGGGATTCTTATGCTGTTCACATACATATAGTTTACTGAATCTAGTTGCATGCCTACCTCTGATAACCAATGCAGGCTGATGGAGGAGCAGAAGAAATGCACTGAGGTCGATGTGAAAAGCCTATCATAAAATGACCCAGGTACCATGCTGGTGACAATGATGTGATGGGAGGAACTGTCCTGGCCATGCTTGAATTCTCCCAAACTTTTTGCAACGGTGTTGAAGTCATTGCATGGAAGATCGTTCAAGAAAATGCACATTTCTGGTTGTGGCTGCTTGTGTTCCATGCAATAACGGTGGATGGCGTTGACCATAGTTGAAACGAGAGTGAGTGCGTTGGGGCCGGAGGAGCAACCCAAGTCTGCGATTACCATGCTCTTAGGGAGAGCTGCCCCACAAAAGGCTTTGATGGCATCCTCTATGAGAGGTTTCATCCTATCTTGCGCTATTTTCTGCAAGTGTAATTCTTTCTTAGATATTATGCTTGTTTTACTGAAGAGTGTGTTCTATAGAAAAATAATCAGCTGGAAGCAGAACCAAATTATATTGTACATAGTGGAGATGCTTTCCATTTCACAATGCTGCTAATTTACACATTGTCACGTGCGAGGGGAACACCGTACCCCCGGGCATACTACGGAAAATTCTAGATAGTGGGCTTCTTCAATATTCCTCAGAAAAGCCAATTTTGGCTTTTTAAGAATAATCTCAGGTAATCATGAAATTAAAAATAGCTGACAGGTTCATAGCAACAGCCTTAGAGGAAAAAAAGGTGCCATGAAGAGCCTAACTGATAGAATCCTACAATAATTTATACATACATAAAAATTATATATGTATATTTACAAACAGTTTTTTTTAAAGAAAAAGAAAAGTAAATTTGCTGCTTGACATTGGGTTCTTGATTGACATTATAGAATTTTAACCACCATCATTATTTTCTTTGTATTGAAGTTCTTATGCTTAAGTACTCATAATGGAACATAGTCTACAATAAAAACATGATCATGAGCATGTAACAAATGATTTGTACTGTAGAATAAGAACTTATACGAGGTAACTCCGAAAGCCGCAACCTCATTCCCCGCTTGGCCAGAGACCGCAAGTGGCTATGGTGACGGTAGCAGCAACCACATCCCTAGCCCCGATCTGGCAGCCCCAGCCGCCGCGGCGGCCGTGGCTGCTGCCCTCACGGTGTGGCACAGGGCCCCCCCGCAACTGACACTGTGTAGTCGCCAATGATCTGGCTAACCATCGGAGAGAAGGAACAAGTGGATCTAGCTGGTATTTTCTTGGGTGATTTTTTGATGTTTCAGTCTATGTATATGGATGTTCATTAGTAAGATCAAAGTGTTTCAATGGGGTGTTTTTATGGTGTTTCTTTTTCATCTTCGATTTCACTCAGATCTTGTTGATGTTGCCATGGCTTTAAATCATTTGTTTTGTATGTTAAAGCAAATTGTTTCATCTGGTGATCCAATTGTGTTTCACTATTTTCAAGAACTGAAGCATTCTTTCCCTAGTTGTCTCGTGACTTTTCTTGGAAAAAATAGTGCGAGAAACCTATTTGGCACACAGTTGTGCTTTGCTCCATTTTCTGTCGACTTCTATGGGTCTATAGGGCCAAACAAATATGCTTTTTTTCTTATTCTATTGAGTGAATTAAAATTGATTGAAATTTTTTATAGTTATAACTCAATTTTAAAAATCTTCATATGTATTTTAGAACATTTCAAATTCAAACTTTCAACTAAAAATTTAAAACTTTCAATTCATATTTTCAAAATTTTCAACTCAAAATTTAAAACTTTCAACTCCAATTTAAAATATTCAACTCATATTTTGAAACTATTGACTCGATATATGAAACTTTGAACTCAAAACTTTTCAAACCTCAACCCAAACTTTGAAAATTTTCATATCAAATTCAAAACTTTCAATTGAACTTTTAAAACTTTCAACTTCAAATTTGAAAATCCATATCCAGATTTAAAATATTCAAATCAATTAATTTTATTATTTTATTAAGAAATTATTGTAGCGCTTAGCACTAATCACGGTAATTAGACAGGCGAAGGAGACGCATAGGCCACACTTTATTTTTGTTGAATGGGCCTAAGATCAATCTAAATTTAGTGGTTACATGGCACATCCAAGCAATGTTTCTGAATTTAAGATGGAAAAACTTTTAGGCTCATATTTAATCGCCATTTTGGGCCAAGAACAAGCCTTCCAAGCAAGCCTTTAGCATTAATTTTACTATAGTTGATACCCCGCTCTTTGCTGTGGGATATGTGGATTAATGCATGTTATACATCATGGAAATGGTAGACATATATCTTTAAATAATGTGAAAACAATGTAGAGATAATGATTTGACATTGCTTGCATATTGAGTTCTAAAAATACAATAAAATTGTAAATGATATGTCATGTTTGCATGATATTTAAAATACTATAGATAATAATTGTTAGTGGGTGATGATGTGGTATACTTGCATATGATTTAAAATACTCTAGATAATAATTGCTAGTGGATGATGATGTGGTACACTTGCATGTTAAGCTTTAAGTACTTTGTGGCATATTTCTTTTTTAGCAAAGAAAATAAACTGTTAGAAACTTGTATAATTAAATACCATATTAGTTAACACTAAGAAAATGATACAAATAGGAATCATGGATTTGGATCTCTTTTCAACTACATATGTACCAATCAAACTCGATCATTTCATGAATATCAGGAATAACTAGTACAATTCAAGGAATATTTCCTCATCATAGACATCAGTAACTCAGAAATCAGCCAACAACTTTAAGCCTTGCAAATCAACTGAAGGCTATTGCGAGTACATAAATATACCTGAATTGTGGAGTTACGAGCGTAGCTTGTTTCGCCCTGTCCTGGATTCATATGGAGAATTTGTTTTGTGGCCATGGCACAGTTTCAATATCTGAATGTGCTTGCTATGATTTGAAGGCTGAGCAACTGGTTACCTATTTATAGGCTAGCTTGCAAATGCCCTTGATGGTCATCATCTAGACTGGAATTAATTGTTCAGATGTTGACCTGATGATGTTTGAACTATAAAATAATTTAATTACTTTTACTATCTTCAGATATATTCCTTTTAAATTTGTAAAATGTGCAATCATTATCTATCTAACTACAACTAGTATTTTCATGCAATTATGATGAGTAAATTTTGTAAAAGTACCGGTACATCATTGAAACCATGAACAAACTACAAACTTGTGCCACAATATGATTGAACCACAGATTTAGTGTTGAAATTATCACAAAAGTACATATCAATTTGCAGTACTATCTGAAAACTATGTTAAATTATTGGACAGCTCGCATTGTTGTATATCGTAGTGGAACTTTCAAGTCCATAATTTGATAACAAAATTGATTGTAAATCTGTAATTTTACAGTTGATGTAGAAAATATAGCTTTGGTTTTGTAAAATTCGCTCTTTTGTGAGAACCTATGATTAAACTGAGACTAATTAAACAACTTGGATTGGCCATACATATGCTCCTATTTGTCCCATTAACTAGTCATTTTAATCTGGCACAGTTTGACATGGTTTTCAACATAAAACTTTGACCATTTATTCTTTACAATACTATCAACTACTATGAAATTAACACCATATAAACAAGTATGAATCTAAAGATATCATCCATACACAAAATACATAATTCATAAAAAAAATGCAAAATGCATTTGTAAGCATAATTTTTTGTTATAAAAACGTTATACCTAATGTTAGTTTTTTTTAATAAATTCAAGTCTCATATTTTATGAAGACTGATGTTGGTCCACAGGTTTACCTCATTTAAATTATTAGCACTTGTTAATTAATGTTACCCCCTCCGTTCTTCAATAATAATCACTCTGCATCTTCTATCATTTATATATTGTTGTAAATATAATTATTTATAGTACTATTTATTTATTCGATCAATCACCACTAATTAAAATATGTTCCCATCTTACCCCACATACCCTCCCACACCCATCCATCCCTTATTTATTGAGGGGCACTAAAGTATTTTATTCTCAATCTTAATCTCTGCTAAGCAACATGGAAATCATTATATTTTAATTAGTAGACATATTGATCAAAACACATATATAGAACATGCCAACAAAAATTGTGAAAAAACCTTCGCAATTATTAGGAGAGGGTGTTAAAAAATGAGTAAGGTGGAGTGGGTGGGGGGGGGGGCGCTAAGGAATTAATGGATCCAAACCAGAAGTATTTAGTAGAAGTTTCGTGTATGGTTGAAGATTGATTTAGGCCGACAAGTGTAGCTATGGGAGAGTAGGGACGAGATTAGAATTCTACTAAAGAAAGTATGGCGGTGACAAATATTTTAAACCAAATGATTTGGTCTTAATTATTAGTTATTTAAGAACGAAGAAAGTACTTCTGTGGCCAGGAGATTTTTTGTGTGATATGAGGAAAAAACAAATCGCATAGACCCACGATGAACAAGACAACAATGTGGATAGACTGTTTGGACGATGAAAGAATATAAATATCATTTATGGCTGCCCGTACAGGATTTGGACTGTAGTAGCAAATGTGTCTATCAATAACAGTCCTGCATGCCATCTAGTATTTGCTCCACAGCTGCCCCTTCTATATGCTCACCTTTTCTGATGCATCCTCGTGAGTGTCTAGGGGAATATTAGATATTCAAACCCTCCTTTACTTAAGGGCACCACCAATGTCTAATGCTCATGTGCACCTTAAGGTGCAACCTACAAACAATTAGATATTATTGTGGTATAATGCATAATGATTATAATCCTTAGCATGCTACAACATGGGCCCAATTCAAAATATAAAACAACTAGGTGACCTTTATATTCGCTATGGTTAGTAGTAAGCTTGAGGTGGCCCACGAGAAACTTTCGACTATTGCTAGTATGCACATGTATATAAGGTGCACCTCGAGAAAATATTTATTGCTTAAGGTAACCTTTTCAGCATGATGTGGTTGCCCTAAGCTTTTAATATGCAAAACCACCCTCAAAATTACTTTATGCGGTAGAATGAATGCTGTTGTAAAGTTTAAGGGATCGGATATCCAGTTTAAAAGTTTAGAGTGCTATACATATCCAAATTTTAGGGTTTATATAGACTTTTTCCTTATATAAATGTGTTCTTCACATTTTCCTTATATAAATGTGTTCCACCTCACCATGATGGGATGCTTGGAGGGATTAGCACCATTGGAAGGAAAACTATCAAGCTCTGGATTGCACACTACATTATAAAGCACGTTTCACCACTAGTACAGATCCTTCCATCTGTGACGGCCCATAACAAGACTGGAATTTGCGGGCCGTCACAAGGAAGTAATCTCAATCGGGCCGAAGTTTCGCCCGATGGAGATATGGTCGCACAGCCATGGTATATCGGCATAAAAATAAAGCCCGTCACGGATGACACTTATCTGTGACGGGCTATAGTAGAGGCCCGATTGAGATGAGGGTTCCATATCTCTATCGGGCCCTAAAAGAAGCCCGTCACAGATGAGGGTCATCTGTGACGGGCTCCAACTAGAGGCCCGATTGAGATAAGTTTAGTGCCCGTCACAGATGACACTCATTTTTGACGGCCTTTTATTAAGGCCCGATAGAGATTACTTGTATGCCCGTCACGGTTGATTGTTTTAGGGCCGTTACAGATATTTGTTGCACAGTATAAATACCCCCCACCACCTAGTGTAACTGTATCCCACTGTTCACTATTTTGGTGGGAGGCTGTAGGGGGCGATTTTTTGTCCTTTTTCAAAGGAAAACAGAAATTAAATTCCTGTAGGTGATCAAAATGGATCAATCAAATGAGTAATATTAATCATTAATTGAGCAATTTCATCAGTAAATACTTTTGCAATAATGATCTTATAATATGTGCCTCTAATTTGTTTTTTTTATTTTGTAGCAATTGATCGAAGTTGGATGTATGCGAAAAATTTGAAACGTCATTCTACGGAGTACATAAAGGGCGTAATAAATTTTATGAACTCCGCGGAGGAGGATCGGAGAAGAAGAAACAGTGATTACATGTGTTGTCCATGTGCAGATTGCAAGAATGAGAATATGTTTGATAGCGGAGAGGACGTACACGGTCATCTGATACAACGAGGATTCATGGAGGGCTATACATGTTGGGTGAAGCATGGAGAGCAAGAATCAGGAAGTGGAGCAGCAGCAGACAGAAGTGGTGCGCATAATCAGGAAGATGAAGATGAGCATGACATGTTTATACCTTCTCCATTGGGCGGTGAAATGGTTGATGTGGATCACGATCTGCTGCAAGACATGTTACGTGACATTGAGGACCCAGCCCAGAATGAGAGAGATGGAATGTAGTTCAGCAGGTTGGTAAGTGATTCCGAGACGCCTCTGTACGCTGGATGCAAAGCAAAACACACTAAGTTGTCAGTTACCTTGGACCTAATGAAGCTGAAGGAAAGTAGTGGATGGACAGACAAGAGTTTCACAGATCTTTTAGGAATTTTGAAGGCTATGCTTCCTGTTGAGAACACATTGCCCAAGACGACATACGAAGCAAAGCAGGTTCTGTGCCCACTAGGGTTAGAGGTCCGTAGAATTCACGCTTGTCCCAACGACTGCATATTGTACCACAAGCAATATGCGGACTTGGATGCTTGTCCTGTCTGCAAGGCTTCTCGATACAAGCGAAAGAAAAGTGCTGACGAAGGAAATAAGTCAAAGAGGGGTGGTCCGGCAAAGGTTGCGTGGTATCTACCTATCATTGATCGTTTCAAGAGAATCTTTGCCAACCCGAACGAAGCGAAGTTAGTACGTTGGCACGCCACGAAGAGAAGGAATGACGGTATGCTTAGACACCCAGCGGATTCGATTGAATGGAGGAATATCGATCGAAAACACAAAGACTTTGCTGCCGACCCTAGAAACATGAGGATATGTCTGTGTACGGATGGCATGAATCCTTTCGGTGACATGAGTAGTACTCACAGTACTTGGCCAGTTCTTATTGCGAACTATAACCTCCCACCATGGTTATGCTTTAAACGGAAATATATTATGTTGTGCTTGTTAATCCAAGGTCCAAAGCAACCCGGCAATGATATTGATGTATTCCTGGAGCCTGTTATCGACGATCTGGAGATTCTTTGGAAAGAAGGTGTGGAAACTTGGGATGCATATGGTCAGGAGAACTTCAAGCTAAGAGTTCTATTGTTCTGCACCATTAATGACTACCCTGCACTCGGTAATCTTTCCGGACAAACTATAAAAGGAAAGAAGGCATGCTCCGATTGCAAGGAACATACACGAAGCCGGTGGCTGAAGAAATCACGAAAGATGGTATACATGGGTCACCGGAGGTGGCTCCCGCTACGTCATGCATTTAGAAGAAAGAAGAAAATTTTTAACGGTAAGAGAGAACTTCAGCCTGCTCCCAAAGATTTGTCCGGAGATGAGGTCCACAATATGGTCAACGACATAAGCAATGAGTTTGGGAAGAAAAGAAAACGTAGCAAGACAAAGGAGAAGGGTATGTGGAAGAAAAAATCCATATTTTGGCGGCTACCTTACTGGAAAGATCTTGATGTCCGTCATTGCATTGATCTCATGCATGTAGAAAAGAATGTGTGTGAGAGTTTGGTTGGCCTGATGCTGAATATTCCCGGGAAGACAAAGGACGGGTTGAACGCGCGCCTTGATCTACAGGACATGAATATTCGCAGTGAACTCCAGCCCATACGAGATGCAGAGACAGGTAAAGTGTACCTCCCTCCAGCCTACCACACACTGTCGAAGGATGAGAAGATCGCAATGTTATCATGCTTGAAGGATATTAAAGTTCCATCGGGCTATTCAGCGAGGATAAGTAAGTATGTTGAATTGGACGATCTAAAACTTGTTGGAATGAAGTCTCACGATTG